CATATCTACCCTCAGGCCTTGGTTTCCATCTCTGAATATCTTCATCTCTCTCTCTCTTCCTCTTGCCTCTCATTTTCTCTCAACAACAAGCTAAGGCCACAGGTGCTGTTGACGACTGGTACTCTCAACCCGCTCGGCTGTCATCCATGGCCAGGTTGCACACCAATGCAGCAGCTCTTCCGCAACAACACGGATGGAAAATTCTGTGGGCGCTAGCTGCAACTTGACTTCTTTCTTTTTTTTTCATACAAGTGGACCTGCCGCAGCTACGCTGCAGCCGAAGGGGGAGGGGGGGGAGGGGGGGGGGGAAGGAGACGGCGTACGAAATTTCATTGAACTCCAAGCTGTTACAGCAGGTTATGAGAGAATTGACCTGACTGAGTGGCTGAAAGTCACTCCTGTACGCACTCTTGAGGACCTTCTCATCACACGGTACCAAGATAAGCACGCTGCGCTCAAGGCAAGGCTGAAGCTTGAGGCCCTCAAGGGCCAAACATGGAGGACCTCCATGCAGGCTTTGGAACAGCACCTGACTGGTCTGTTCACCACTCCAGACCTGGGAATGACCGACGTGTCTTGCATGGATGTAGTCATGGGAGTGGCCCCTAAAGAATATCTCTCCCTGCTAGGACTCAAAGACCATACCACTTGGCGAGAGCTCATGACGGATCTAGTCAACCTAGAGGCCAAGGACCTCGCCAGGCGTAAAAAGGCACCCGTTGCAGGTGGAAAGTCACAACGCACGTGGTATGGAAGCAGCAACCAGCTTGCCCTGCATGAACATCGGGAGGCTGAAGATCAGTCCTACGTGGATGATCTGTCTCTAGATGACGATCTAGAGCCGGACTCCGATATGGCCTGTTCTACATCAGCCATTGAGTCTGACGTGAACGAAGATGAAAAACTTAATGCTTTCAAAAAGACTGCTTCAAGCAAGGGGCCTAACCGTGGTTCGGGTAGGGGAACTATTGCACACCTCCCCAAGAATGCGAAGATCCCTGAGAAACCGGAGGACGCTTCTACCAAGTCTTGGGAAGCCCTCCGCATCAGTCAAAAAGAATGGGAAAGAAGATTCAAACTGCGCGTATGCTTGCATTGTCAAAAGCCTGGGCATGCTGTGCAGGACTGCTATCGTCTGCATGGAAACAAGCAAAGGGCGTAGAAGAGTCATCAACACTCTCTACAACAAGGGAAGCTGAACCATCATTTGCAGGCCCCTCCAATGAGCCTGAATCTGATCAACAGCCTACTCTTCAAGCCCGGAACGACGCTGAATCCAAGGCTGCTACAATTCAAGTATTGTACACTGAGCCTTGGGAGCAATTTAAGGAAGTTGACTTCGACGCTCACCTGGAACATTGGTTGCAGCTCAAGCAGCAATGCCGTGTTCAAGAAAGTGTGGAGCTAACCTTCTTTAAGCTACTCATTAACCGCCGATACATCCATGTGATGATTGATAGTGGTTCAACAACCAATTTCTTTTCTCCTAACGGGATTCGTAAGGCGGGCCTAGGAATGAAGCAAGTGGAACTGCAGAACCCTTATCAGACCCAGGTAGGCAACCAAGAGGTTGTCACCTCAACACATGCTGTCAAAGGTGTGCACGTCACTTTTGACAGGGATCGCACTGTCACACATGAGCTGAACTTTTTTGTCATGGACAAGTGTCCGTTCGACGCGGTCATTGGTTTGGGCTGGTTAAAGGCTCATTGCCTAAGGACCACGTGGGTGGATAATCAGTTCGGGGTGCATGATGCCAAGGGGAACGAGCGTACCGTTCTAGTGGACGAGACGCGCGAGTCCTCTGTGACTCTCTTGAGTGCAAACAAATTCTGCAAATCAGTGTGCAGGCGCAAGGAAGATGAACATGTACATGTAGCTCTTGTAAAGCCTCTCCATGTGCCCTCTACTTTTGCTGCATTTTCTACATCGGAAGGTAATTCTACTACTACCGCTTCTACTTCTATCCCATCTACTTCTGATCCGAGTACTTTGAATCCAGTTGTAATTGCTGTAAATTCTCGATCTGATTTTCTTTCTCTTGATAAGGATGATCCTCCATCGGAAGTCCCAACAAACATTCGCCGGCTATTAGATCGATTTCCTAAAGTTTTCGCCAAGCCTCGTGGAGTTCCCGAGCGTCCGGTCAAACACAAGATCGAGATAATAGAAGGAAGTGGTCCTCCAAAGGGCTGCGTCTACCGTATGGGACAAGGCGAGTTGGAGGAGTTGAGGAGACAAATTGATGACATGATCGATCATGGATGGATTAGGCCTAGTGAGTCTGAGTTCGGTGCACCTATCTTATTTGTACCAAAGAAAGGAGGCAAACTCCGGATGTGCATTGACTATCGTGGCCTGAATCGGATCACCTGAAAGAATGTTTATCCTTTGCCTCGCATAGATGATTTGCTAGATGCGGCAGGTGGGTGCAAGGTCTTCTCCAAGATCGACCTCAAGTCTGGCTACCACCAGATTGAAGTTGATCCGAGTGACCAACACAAAACTGTATTCAAAAACACGCGATGGGCTGTACGAATTCATCGTTATACCCTTCGGTCTTACGAATGCACCAACCACATTTCAGTGCCTCATGGACAAGGTCTTCGCCATCAGCTCAACAGGTTTGTGGCTGTTTACCTTGATGACATACTGATTTTCAGCAAGTCCATGGAAGAGCACGTCAAACACCTTGAGGAAGTTTTGCAGGTCCTCAAGGAGGCTCAACTGCACCTCAACTTAGAGAAATCTGAGTTTGGAAGGGACAGCATCATCTATCTTGGGCACCGGTTGTCTGCAAACGGCCTTGAGCCGGAGGCAACCAAGGTTGAGGTCATACGAAAGTGGCCTCAACCAGCGAACGTGCGCGAACTGCGTTCTTTTCTTGGTTTGGTCTTATATTACCGGAAGTTTGTGCCCAAATTTCTTGTTATTGCTCACCCACTCTCGAGACTAACAAGCAAGAATGTTACCTATACGTGGTGTGAGAAATGTGAGACTGCGTTCCAAGCCTTGAAAAAGGCATTGGTGAGTCATTTTGTGCTCCGCATTGCGAATCCCAACCTCACATTCGTAGTCACTACGGACGCGAGTCAGTTTGGGATTGGTGCAGTGCTGCAACAAGATGATGGTGATGGCCTGCGTCCGCTCGAGTATTACAACAAACGCACGCCCAGCCACAAGGTAACTACCTCCACGTACATGTGTGAGCTCTACGCCCTGTGCGAAGCGCTCACACATTGGAAGCACTACCTCTTGGGTCGTCACTTCAAGGTCTACTCAGATCATCAGACCTTGCAGTGGATTAAGACACAAATTGATCTCTCTCCTACACTGACCCGTTGGTTGCATGACATTGATGTCTATAATTTTGAGTTGAAACACAAGAAAGGCTGTTATAACCGTGTTGCTGATGCTCTCTCACGCCATCCAGAGTTTTTGACTTGCCTTGTGGGTTCGTATGACCTCCGAAGGAAACTGAAGGAGGATCTGGTCGAACACACCGCCAAGGATCCGGACCTTAGTCCCATCCTTGAGCAGCTCAAGGCTGACCCTAACAGTCAGCCTGATTTTCATGAGTGCGAGGGTCTTGTATTCCGCCGGTATGGGAAATTTGATCGTTTGTGTGTACCCAACCATGCGCCTCTCCGAACTCATTTCTTGGATTTGGCACATGGTCAAAGTGGGCATTTCGGCTTTGAGAAGACTTATGGAAGTCTTCTGCAGCAGTTTGATTGGCCGGGAATAAAGGGATCTGCTCATAAGTTCATTGTTGAATGTCAAGTATGTCAAAGAACCAAGGTCCACAGGCATAAGCCTTATGGCCTGCTGAGACCCCTCCCCATTCCTGATGGTCCCGGTGAGTCGATTTCCATCGACTTCACGGACATGGGAAAGGTGAGTGAGGCAGGNCCTTATGGCCTGCTGAGACCCCTCCCCATTCCTGATGGTCCCGGTGAGTCGATTTCCATCGACTTCACGGACATGGGAAAGGTGAGTGAGGCAGGAAACTCACAAGTCATGGTCATC